CACCATTTCCCTCATTTTTTCCTACTGCTCACTCTGAATAGTCTTCCCTGGCTATTGTCATTAACAACCAACTGGATATTGCTGCATTCACATATTTTAAAACGAATCTCATAATACTAAAGTGTGTACTTAGGCTAATTCTTTTGACCAAAATAGAATATGATATCTAGTTTTTAGAAGAAGCAAATGTGTCCCTATATTTATATTTATGAACAGGTTTAAATAAGAATCTGGTCCTCAGCTTATTCAAGCCATGTTCATTTACAGAATTAGTATTGTTGGAAGGTCTTTAAATAGCAGCCAGACAACACTCATGCCACTGTCTAAGCACCAAAAGGGGGTGCATTTCAATTAAAGAAATATTTTTAAGGTATTGCTATGTGTCAGGCACTGTGCCAAGTACTGGGAGAGAATATATAGCATGAACATGGTCTCTGTTCATGAAGCTTATAGTCTGGGAAGGATAGATATATGTATGTAAGAGCTAGATATAGTATGAGAAAAATAGATATATGTGTGCAGTATATATAAAAACTTCTCAAAGCAAAATGAAAAAACATTAAGAATCAGGGCTTAGGAACAGGGTGGGGCAAAGGTAGGTTTATAGTTTTAAGTATCCAAATTCTATCCTTGCATTATTATTTACTACAGGCCCAGTGCACAAAATTTATGCATAGAGGATTCAGGGGGTCTCTCAGCCCAACCTGCACCCTCTCCAATCCGAGAGTCCTCAGGGGATGTCCTACTGACTGCTTAGGCCCACTCCCCGTGTTTCTCTGCTATCTGCGGAGCCTGCTTGGCCGCTCCCAGGTCACTATGGCAATGACCAAGCAGGCCCTGCTCTCAGAGGCCGCCCCCCAGGACTGGAGGACTCCAGTGGGGCTGAGAGGACTGGACGCTGCCATCTTGTGGCTATGGGCGCCGCCATCTTTGTGTCAGAATGATGATTAATTTGCATATTACTCTTTTATTAGATAAGATTAATTATCATATTATTTTCTATAGGAACAATTATAAACCTACTTTTGCTTCACCCTGCATTTCCAAAATAAAACTAACATACTTTCAGGCACATTCCCTCTTCACCTCAACTGTACCTTATCTAATGGCAATTATTAGCCTCTTCTGTGCAGAGACAGCTATGCTCACCAACTGCTCCATAGGTGCCCTATAGTGCCTAGATTCTTTGCAATTAGGTGAGGTCATAGGACTGATATGGTCACTGGCCAATGAGCAGACTCACTGAAGGGCAGGAATGAGTTCTCCTGCAGTCTTTCTCCCACTCCCCCATCATGAACACCAAGGACTTGTGTTGATATAATGGATCTATAAGATCAAAGTAGCCTAAATAAATAAATAAACCACATGAATGGAAGCCCTGGGGAGTTGCTAGTGCCAACAGAAAGCTTTACCGAATAAGAAATAAACTTTTGCTGTTAAACAAAATTGTTGAACTGCTGTTAAATAAACTTTTGCTGAAATAACTCACCCTATCCTTATATACCATTTCATTAAACAAAAATCGTTCTGAATCTTCATAAGAGTTTAATAAGATTGGTTTGCATTCATTTGGCAAATAATTACTGACCACTGCTATTGTTTGGCATTGCTGCAGGTGCTGAGAATACCAGGATGAATAAGACAGAGTCCCTGGAGCTTTAAGGAACTTAGTTTTACCCAGATGATAGACATTTTCAGGTAATGATAAATGCAACAAAGACATCAAGATCTTGCCCAATTTCATTAAGTGTCTTTACTTTCCTCCTTACTCAACTCAGATTCTATGCACCATCATGTTCATTGTCCTGCCCATATATCACCTCACTTACGCTTCTCTCATCTTCATACTTGCCTGGCAAAATCCTAACCTGATTAAACCCAAACCTTTGCCATCTTCACATCTCCTCCTGGGGAGCTGAATATGTCTGGAGAAAAACAATAATCCTAACTGGTCTCACTTGGACTTCATGGTCACTATTTCCACTGGGTGCACCTGGCAGCTTCCCGGCAACCATATTACATCCCCTGATCCATCCATCCCCATTCTCCTACCAAACTCATGTGTCCTTTCTCCTGAAACTTGCAACAGTCCTCTCCCACACTCACTCATTGACAATGATTTTGCTCCTGACTTCACTGAAAAACTTAATGGACTTCTAAAACTTCCACCACATCTGCCAAAACCCACATAGTGAGGGTACACATATACTCCGTGTTTAAAACTGCCCATGTTCCTTCTAAGGACAATTCCTCCACTTGTGCACTAGATTCTGTCACCTCTCATCTCCTGTGGGAAACATGGAAATGTGCCACCCAGATCCCCCTTCCAAGGCCCAGTTGCAGAGCCTGCAGTCAGGAGCCTCCATCTGTCAGTTCCTTCAGGGTCTGCTACGGCTGTGGAGTCACTGTGTCTGAGGTCATGCCCTACCTGGGACAGCTTGCATGCAGTAAGCAAGGTTGGCATATAAAAGCCCAGCCAGGCAGAACACTCAGAAGAAGAATACTCACTCCAGAGCTCCCACAGGGCTGGCTGAAGCTTTGTCAGATCTGATTCACAGTTGGATTTCTTCCTCTGTACAATCCCGCTTCCTTCCCTTTTTGTTTCACAGGTACTAATCCCTAATAAATTTCTAGCTCCTCAAATTCTGCTTCAGCATCTCCTTAGAGAACCCAACTTGACATATCTACTGTAGGTCGCTCAGTTCCAGCTGTTGCCCCTCCATCTTTCATCAGTGTTTCCCTCTCACTGATTCATCCCCATCATCTCATAAATATACAATTGTATCTTCATTCTTAAACATCAGACTCCCTTTGAGCTAACTTCCCCATTTCTCTGCTCCCCTGAACACCAACATTTCTGAAAAGATCGTCAGAATCCATTCCTGGCCTATCTGTCTCTCTATATCCCCACTCCTGGCACCGTCATACTCACCACCCCACAGAAATAGCTGTTGTCAGTTATATATAATTCATCATTGTTATATCAGATGGCCAATTCTCAGTTCTCTTCTCAACTGACCTTTAAAAGCAGCGTCTGGCCCAGTTAACCAACCTCTCCCTCTTAGACAATTGTTCCCTTGGCTTCCGAAACACAACGTTCACTTGATTTTCCTCCTACTTCACTGGCTACAGTTGCTCCTTCTTATCTCCTTTGCTGGTTCCTCTTCCTCTCCTGAACCTCTAAACATTGAAGAGCTCCAAGGTACAACCTTGAACCTTTCCTCATCTATACCAATATTCAGTTAGTGAACGCATCTGGCCCCAGGGTTTAGAGACCATCTACATGATGACAACTGCTAAATTTATATCTTGAGCTAGAGATTCTTCCTCTGAATGCCAGACTCTTGCATCCAGCTGCTATTCTGAGTCTCCATTTAGATGCTAACGGGAATCTCAGACCTTACATATTTAAACAAAACAGCTGATCCCCATCATTTAACTCTATGTGCAAATGCATCTCCTTCCTCACTACCACCAGGCCTGCAGGGGAGGACGGTTAGGGGCAAGTGATGGTATTGAGGAAGGAGAAACATTTGAGCATAGAGCTAAATGATGTGAAGGTGCAACAAATCATTTGAAATTTCTGAGGGAAAAGCAGTCCTAGCAGAAAAAACTAAGTATAAAGGTCAAGGTAGGAATGAGCTTGTCTTTATGTAGAAACATGAAGGCAGGCTGTGTGGCTGAAACAGCCAACTGTGTTGGAGAGTTGAGATCAAGGCTGTCAGCAACTGCATTACTCAGGACCTTATAAACCACTGTACTTGAATTTTACTCCAAGTATGAGGGAAGCCATGGAAGAGCTTTAAGCAAGAAGAGTACCCAATCTGATTAAAACAATACGTCGGTTGCTTTGTGACTAGTAGGTGATGGGGTGACAATATGGAAACCACCTGACCAGTGAGTGGCAGGCTGTGTGGAAATCCATGCAAAAGAAGAGAAGGGACGGGATTCAAATGGCGTCAGTGGAGTGGGAAATGGTATAAAGTTTGAGGATGGAATGACAAGATTTGCTTATGTTTTTGGTAGGGGCTTAAAAGGAAAAGAGATTCAAAAGAAATGTCTAATTTTGCGCTGCAATCCGAAGTCCATCCAGGCACATTTATTTTTGTCTTTGGATGTATCCTATTTCCATTAAGTCCAAGGATCCTTTAGGCAGCTAGTGGCTTAGTTGTTGGGGGAAAATGAAGAGAATCCCATACAGAACTGGAGAATATTTGAGGAAGAGCAATAGTGCATTCAGTTTTTGAAGTGTTGAGATGGAAAGATCTGTGGAGATGGCCTAGGACCATGGTCGACAAACCACGAGAGCCACAGGCGGCTCTTTGGCCCCTTGAGTGGTTCTTCCACAAAATACCACAGCCTGGACGAGTCTATTTTGAAGAGTGGCTTTAGAAGTTGTTTAAAAAATGTGGCTCTCAAAAGAAATTTCAGTCGGTGTACTGTTGACTAATGAGTTTGCCGACCACTGGGCTAGAACTCATGAGGGAAGGGTCTGGCCTGGACAATGCTCATTTCCTCTATTATAACCAACACACCATTCCCCCTTCCAGTTACGGGTCTGGAAATCTACTTGTCCCCAGCGACGTGGCGGCGGGGTCCTCAGTGGTGGACAGCAAGAGCTCTGTGTCCTAACCGGGAGCGCTCATTTCACGCGAAATACTGCAGATAGCGACGCCAAGGTTTGCAAACTTCTCTCCCGCCGGCGGCCCGAGGGCCCGGCCCGTGACCACGCCCCTTCCCCCCCGCGCCGGGCACCCCCTCCCTCCCGCCCCCCACAGGCCCGGGAACGAAACCCACGCAGGCCCTTAGCGCCCGCCCAGCGCAGCCCCGCGCGAGAGCGGAGCGCGCGCCTCCAGGCGCGGCCCCACGACCGCTCGCGGCCCCGCTCCGCCCGCCGCCGCTTTCCCGCGGAGGCGCCGCCGGCCCCGCCCCCCGCGCGCGCGCGCCAGCCCCGGCCCGCGCCCTGATTGGCCGCCGCATTCCCGCTTTCTTGCCCGAACCGCCATTTTGAAAATCTTGTTGATTCTGGGGAGCGGGGAGTGCGGCGCGAGCGCCAGGCCAGACAGCGTCCGCGCGCCCTCTCCTCCGCGCCCGCCGCCGCCGCCTGCCAGAGCGCCCCCGTGCCCACGCGCGCCCGGCCCGCGGCGGCCGCGACCCCTGGTGAGGGCTGCACCGGGGCGGGGGGCCGGAGGGTTCCGTGGGGCCCGCCCGTCCGCCGCGGCCTCGGACAGCGGCCTGGGGCGGGGGGAGGGGACGCGGCGCGGCCGGAGGGGAGGAGGTGGGAGGGGCGGCTCGCCCCTCGGTTCCCGCCTCAGGGGCTCCCGGGCCGCGGGCGGAGTGCGAGGGCCGGCCCGGGGGAGGGAGCGCCGTTGTCCGGCTCCCGGAGGGGCAGCTTTGAGGGCCGGGGGCGGGGAGGAGGGTGTCCCGCGGCCCCGGGTCCTGGGCCCTGAGGGGCGGGCGGTCGGGGTCGCCTGTCCCTCCCGCCGGAGGCGCGGAGACCGAGGCGCCCGCGTCCTCCTGCCCGCAGGCCGCCAGCATGTCGTCCCCGGGCCCTGCGGCGGCGGAGGGAGAGGGAACCCCCGAGCAGCCCGCGGCCGAGAAGGAGCCCGAAATCCCCGGCCCGAAGGAGGAAAGCGAGGAGGAGGAGGAGGAGGAGGAAGACGACGACGAGGAGGACGAGGACGAGGAAGAGGAGAAAGGTGGGCAGCCCTGTCCCTGAGGGATGGGTTTTACAGGAAATAATAAGATTTCTGGCTCTTTGGCGCTCAGAGGCACTACATTGGCGTGTCCGGCTAGAAAGCGAAATCTCTCCGGCTTTGTGTTGAGCAACCGCAGAGGATTAACTTGGTGGATCCCGGTTTTTATCAAACACACTGTAGGTGTTGTGAGTGTGCCTTGTGGGGTGCAGTTGACGCCTCAGCATCAGAATGCTTTTGTAAGGTTTCTGCCCTTGGGCTGGAAGTTTGGAAGTTTCAGACCTGTTTTTTAAAACTCGAAGTCTCTTTTATGTCAATAAGGTATTGTTTTATTTTTAAATCTGTTGCCTTTTGAGGCTATTGTAAAGTCTGGAGTGAAGCGACACGCCGAGCTGAAGGTTAGTCCTGGACCCGTTTAATCTGTTTGCTGAGTTTCTAAGGCCTCTGGGGCGTTCCTTTCTCGGAGAAACTGGTGACGGGGCAGCTGTTGCTCCTTGAGAAAGTGGTTGCGAGTGAAAGCACTGCGCTCTGAGCTGCGAAAGAAAGTGAAATGGGAGCTCAGCGCCGCCTGGGTTTCGGGGTTGAGGGAGAACATCCGTCACCATTTGATGGGAGGCGTGAAACAGGAGAACCTGGGGGGTTGAGGAGAGGCGCTGGCTGCATCAGCTCATCCAGAGGCGAGGAGGCAGCGCCCAGGAAACCTTCAGCCACCCGAACATCCCAGTGAGAGATCTTCACATTCTGAGATGCTATCAGCCCAGTCTGGGTTCCATATGTGGCTACAACGCAGCCACGCTGGGGGAGACGTACACGTGAAGTGTTTAAAAAAGCAGGTTCAACTCTTCATTTCTTTTAAGCCAAAACCATTCAGTCCACATTCAGCGTTTTATAAGTACAGTCTGGGTTGAGGGGACACAGAATGGTCTGTCCTTTGTTTGTGTAAAGTGGTAAGTGCTCTAAGAAGGGAGCATGTCCACATTTAGGGGGGAAAATGTTATTTTGTTAACTATGCATAGTCCCATAACAAAATGGGTTGTAATATCTACTGGTCCAAGATTTTCTCAGCATTTTTTCCTCCAGCTTTTTTTGTTTTGTTTTTAGTCTTTTATTTTTTAGTTGTTTTTTGTATTTGTTTTTTTTATTGATTTCAGAGAGGAAGGAAAAGGGGGAGAGAGTTATTTGAAACATCAGTGATGAGAGAGAATCATTGATAGGCTGCCTCCTGCTCGCCCCCAGCTGGGGATCCTGCCACGCAACCTGGGCATGTGCCCTTGGCCAGAATCAAACCCGGTACCCTTCAGTCTGCATGCCATCCAGCTAGGGCTTGTTTTTAGTCTTTTTTAAAAACAGGGTTTGAGCCTTAGCCGGTTTCACTCAGTGGATGGAGCGTCGGTCTGTGGACTGAGGTGTCCTGGGTTTGATTCCATTTAAGGGCTTGTACCTTGGTTGTGCCCCAGTGGGAGGTGTGCAGAAGGCAGCTGATGGATGTTTCTTTCTCATCAATGTTTCTAACTTTGTCTCTCCCTCTCAATTAAAAAAAAAAAAAATCAATAAAATATACTTAAAAAATAAAATAAAGACAGGATTTAGATGCCACAGAGATCATGAATTTCAACATGAAAATTCAAAAATATATATTCCCAAGTAGTTCTGATTTATTATTCCTCAATTTAGGTTTCAATGGAACAACTAAAATTTCAGACGTTTTTATCCTACTTAGCCCTGAAAATTTAAGTATCCTACTGAGGCATAAAAAAAAGGCAATGAAGTCTGTACCAAATAAGGGATTAATTGACTTTTAGCAACAGTTTTCTTGGCAGGACTTGAGGGGAATGCCTAGTAAAAGATGATTCCTAGATTTCTATCTTTGGCATCTGTATGGATAATGTTACCATTTTCTGGAAAATAGAATTCATGAAGGTGAGTGAGTTTGGAGATGATTATGACTTCTATTTTTGATACATTTAGTGAGGTGTCTATAGGACAGGAAGTAGAGCTGTCTAGTGGCAGCCCAGTTTGTTGAAGCTGGGGAAAAAACTCTGGACTTGAGATAGACCAGGAAAATTCTTAGCTTATACATGGTATTTAACTCAAACCTAATGGTTTAAATCACTCAAAGAAAGAAAGTAGGGTAACAGGAGTTGCTTTTTGGGTGCTTTCCTTTCTGTATACCATTGCCAGAATTTACCTGCTGGAATCCTCTTTCCCTAATGCTTTCTGTGCAAATCCTTTTGATTTGTTAAAATCTTTATTGTTGAAAGTATTACATATGCCCTGCTTTTTCTCCCATTGACCCTTTTAGCCCCCTTGCCCCAGGCTTTTACCACACTATTGCCTGTATCCATGGGTTATGCATACAAGTTCTTGTTAATCTCTTCCCTCCCACCCACACCTTCCCTCTGAGATTTGACAGTCTATTCCATGCTTCTATGTGCAAATCCTTACATCTCCAAATCTTAACTGTCCTTCAAAGCCAGTTCCAATGTTTTGATCCTCATTGGATTCCTAATCCAAAGATATTCTTTCCTCAACTCTCAGAATTGTTTGTGTCTTTATTAAAAGTGTCCTGGCCCTGACTGGTTTGGCTCAGTGGATAGAGCGTCGGCCTGTGTTGAAGGGTCCCAGGTTCGATTCCCGTCAAGGGCATGCACCTTGGTTGTGGGCACATCCCCATCGTGGGTGTGTGCAGGAGGTGGCTGATCGATGTTTCTAATTCTCTATCCCTCTCCTTTCCTCTCTGTAAAAAAAACAAACAGGAGGTGGCTGATCGATGTTTCTAATTCTCTATCCCTCTCCTTTCCTCTCTGTAAAAAAAACAAACAATAAAATATATATATTGGATCCCCTGTGAGATTGTCAAGTTAGTATAATATTACTCAAAAATTTGGTGTTGCTGTTAACTGATCAAGTATTTTCATCTGTTAATGTTATATTCTCAAAAATCCTATTAAGGAGAGGAGTATGGTATTAAGTTTCTGTGATTATTTCCTATATATTTATACAATAGTTAATATATTTCAACTTGTTAATCAAGAGGTATTAATTTCTAGAAAAGAGTCTCATCGTGGAAGGCAAGAGGGAAAAGAAAAAAGTAGAGAGGTTGACAATGCAAGTCTCTTCTTTACAAAGAGAGCCATTTACAATTGCACAAGGTAAGTTTATTCTGTGTTCTTTCATTTTATGATGAAAATGCCTAAATACAAAAATGATGATTACCAATGCTTAGTTTTTAGTGTTTACTAAGTAGTAATATAGCATTGGTATTATTTTATTTAGTTTGCCATATTAAAGCAAAAGTTATGTAAATTATGTTATAAAATATTTTTCATTAAGTTTGCAAGTGCATTAACACATAATGGTATTTAACTTTAATTATTATGGGTTTTTTTTTTTCTAGGAAAGGGGCAGAAACTGTGTGAAATTGAAAGGATACATTATTTTCTGAGTAAGAAGAAAACAGATGAACTTAGAAATCTACATAAACTACTTTACAACAGACCAGGCACAGTAAGACCTTTTTATACCTTTAATCTAGTAGCATATTTATGTATTTATTAAAATACTTTACAATAGAAGCAAATTTTAGTCCTAGAAAGGACTTTTAGCTAACAGCTAGTTTAATTTCCATACCATAAAAGTGAACGAACTGAGACACATATTTTCTAAATGATTTATCACAGGATACATAGCTAGATATTAGCAATTAGGATTGCAATATCTAGGACTCTTTCTACTGAACTTGTTTTTATGCCTTTCTGAAATGTCAGATTGTGATGATTTTAGTGGGTTTTTTAATTGTATAAGAAATTATTTTTTTTGGATTTTTTTTTTTTTTAGTCATCCAGAATAAACAGTATAATTATATGTCTTTTTGCGCAAATAACTGATAAATTAGTTGGTACTTCTTTTCCAATAGATTTCTTAAAATCGGTGTTTCATTTACTGAGTTATTTTACTGTAGTCACCTCTTAACTGCATGGGATGCATTCCAAGACAGTGGTTGCCAACCTTTCGGACTTCATGGTCCACCAGTGGTTCACAGACCACCAGTTGGCAACAGGTGCTTCAAGACCCCTAGTAATTCCTGAAACCAAGGATAGTATTGGACCTATGCATATATACCTATGATAAAGTTTAATTTCTAAAGTACACACAGTAAGAGTTTAACCCTATGCAGTAATGAAGTAGAACAATTATAACAACACAAGAGGCCCGGTGCCGAAATTCATGCATGGGTAGGGTCCCTAGGCCTGGCCGGTGATCAGGGCCGATCAAGTCCTTCCCCCTGCTGCCTGCTTGGGCTTTCCTTAGTGTCAGCGCATGTCTTAGGAGTCTGTCAAACTCCCAAGGGAACAATTTGGTTATTAGCCTTTTATTATCTAAGATAGGATACTATAATAAAAGCTATGTGAATGTGGTCTCTCAAAAATATACCTATAATACATTATTCACCTTTTCACGTAAAGGAAGCACTTTATGGCTTCTCTTTAGTATGTCTGAATTGCCAACATCACTCTTCTAGTGCTTTGGGGGCCATCCTATATAATCCTATATATTAAAAGGCTAATAGGCAAATCAACCGAATGGCGGAATGACCGGTTGCTAAGACGCGCACTGACCACCAGGGGTCAGTGCATTCCCACAGGGGAAGCACCACTCAGCAAGCTGGGCTCATGACTGGCGAGCACAGTGGCAGTGATGAGAGAGGGACTAAACATCCGCCAAAGGGTCCTAGTCTGTGAGAGAGCACAGGCAAGGCTTAGGGGACACCCCCCCAACCCCCACCGCCTCATAGGTCATGCACAGGGCATCTAGTTAATAAATAAAATAAGGATTATTTGAATGCAAGCACCAAGATAACACCACTGTCCATCTGAGCCAACTACTGTGTTTCCCTGAAAATAAGACATCCTCCGAAAATAAGACCTACTTACAGGTTTCCTTCTGAGTGAAATATAAGGCATCCCCCCGAAAATAAGGCCCCCCTAGGCTAAACATGAGAGATTTGGTCCACTGATTCTGAAAGAAATGGAGTCACAAGAAATTCACCAGGAAATTCAGGAATTGGATTGTTATGATGATGTTCCAGATGATGACATGATTGTCATTGAATAAATGAGTAAATTCTTGATACTGTAGGATTCAGTTTGTCTGGTTTATGTTGACAACTACCGTACTACCGTACCGTATACAGGTAATAAATTTCTTTTATTTTCATTTAACAATAAATGTGTACCGTATTCTTCTTCATGGAAAAATAAGACATCCCCTGAAAATAAGACCTAGCGCATCTTTGGGAGCAAAAATTAATATAAGACACTGTCTTATTTTCGGGGAAACAGGGTACTAAGTGACTAATAGGCAGGGAACATATATAGTAATCCTCCCTTATCCACCGTTTCCCTTTTTTATTTTATTTTTTGTGTGGATTTCTTTTCCTTTTATTTTTTTTAATTTGTCCAAAATCAAAATTTATATACACACACACACACACACACACACACACACACACACACACATCGTTTAAAGTTTTACATAATGTCTTCCTTTTCCCCAATTGACTCAACCCTCCCCCCAGCCATTCCCACCCCAGGCAAGCCCCCACTGCCCCAGGGTCTATGTCCATTGGTTATGCTAATATACATGCATACAAGTTCTTTGGTTGCTCTCTAACCTTCTTCTCTCCTGCCATTTATTTCTGGATCTATGCTTGTTCAACAAATTATGTTGATCATTATATGCCACATATGAGTGAAATCATATGATATTTATCTTTCTCACTGGTTTATTTCGCTTAGCATAATATTCTCCAGTTCCATCTATGCTGTTGCAAATGGTAAAAGTTGCTTTTTTTTTTTTTTTTATAGTGGCATAGTATTACATTGTGTAGATGTATCACAGTTTTTTAATCTAGTCATCTGCTATTAGGCATTTAGGCTGTTTCCAAATCTTAGCTATGAACATAGGAGTGCGTGGATTGTTATGATGATGTTCCAGATGATGACATGATTGGTGTTTCTGGTTCTGATTGGTGTTTCTGGTTTCCTGGGATATAGTCCTAGAAGTGGGATTACTGGGTCAAATGGGAGTTTCATTTTTAACTTTTTGTGGAAATTCCATACTGTTTTCCACAGTGGCTGTTCCAGTCTGCATTCCCACCAGCAGTGCAGTAGGGTTCCTTTTTCTCCACATCCTCGCCAGCACCTGTTGTTTGTTGATTTGTTGATGATAGCCATTCTGACAGGTGTGAGATGGTATCTCATTATTTTGATTTGCATCTCGGATGATTAGTGACTTTGAGCATGTTTTCATATGTCTCTGGACCTTCTACATGTCCTCTTTCAAAAAGTGTCTATTTAGATCCTTTGCCCATTTTTTTATTGGATTTTTTATCTTCCTTTTGTTAAGTTGTGTGAGTTCTCTGTAAATTTTGGAGGTTAAATCCTTATTTGAAACTAAAGGCCCCGTGCATGAAATTTGTGCACTTGAGGGTGTCCCTCAGCCTGGCCTGCGCCCTCTCGCTATCCGTGAGCCCTGGGGGGATGTCTGACTGGTGGCTTAGGCCTACTAAGACATTCTTTGCATTGCCATGGAGGCAGGAGAGGCTCCCACCACTGCCACTGTGCTCACCAGCCATAAGTCTGGCTTCTGGCTGAGCAATGCTCCCCCAGTGGGAACACACTGACCACCAGGGAAAGCTCCTGCATTGAGTGTCTGCCCCCTGGTGGTCAGCACACATCATAGTGACCGGTCATTCCACCATTCGGTCATTTGCATATTAACCTTTTATTATGTATGTTATCATTGGCAATGTTCTCCCATGCAGTGGGCTTTCTTGTTGTTTTGTTGACAGTTTCTTTTGCTGGGCAGAAGCTTTTTATTTTGATGTAGTTCCATTTGTTTATTTTCTCCTTAGTCTCCATTGCCTAGGAGCTGTGTCTGTAAAGATATTGCTACAACATGTTTGCTATTTTCCTGCCTATGGAGTCTTGTAGGATTTTTATGGTTTCCCATCTTACATCTAAGTCCTTTATCCATTTTGAGTTTGTTTTTGTGTATGGTGTAAATCAGCGATCTAGTTTCATTTTTATGCTTCTTGGTGAGCCTGGTTGGAGGTTCATCAATCTTGTTTATTCTTTCAAAGAACCAGCTCTTGGGATCTTTTGTATGTTTTTTTTTTTTGTTTTTTTTTTTCTCTATGTCATTTATTTCCACTCTGATCTTTATTATTTTCTTCCTTCTGCTTACACTGGGCTTTTGTTGTTGCTCTCTAACTCTTTGAGTTGTAAGATTAGATAATTTATTCACATTCTCATTTTCAAAAAATTATCTTTATAAGCCTTTTATAATGGACCTGGAGATTATTATACTAAGTGAAAAAAGCCAGTAAAAGACAAATATCACATGATCTCACTTATGCAGAATCTAATGAACAAAGTAAACTCATGAACAAAATAAGTCCAGAGATATGAATGCATGGAACAGACTGATAGATGTCAGAGGGAAGGGAGATAGGGGAGGAAAGAGAATGGCTTAACCAAAGAACTTATACATTGTATGCATGGCTCATGGACACAGACAGTTGTGTGGTGAGGGCATGGAGTGGGTTGGGTTCTGGATGGAGGGGAATAAAGGGGGAAAAATAGAGGACATCTAAAATATTGTCAATAATACAAATAAACTTTAATAATTATGTATATAATATTTTAGTATTAAGTATAGTTTTCAATTGTGAATAAGAAATTTTGCATAAACCAGTATTGTAGCTTAGAGACAGATGTGAAAATAAAGATGCAGGCTTGAACTTTTTCTTGTGTACATTACTGAGTAATAAGTAGTAGTAATAATAAGAGAAACATTTTCAGGTTTCCTCATTGAAGAAGAATGTGGGTCAATTCAGTGGCTTTCCATTTGAAAAAGGAAGTACCCAATATAAAAAGAAGGAAGAAATGTTGAAAAAGTAAGTTATTTTTTATAAATATCATGTTTTGATCAATGTGGGGTTTTTTAAATATATTTTTTATTGATTTCAGAGAGGAAGGGAGTGGGGAAGAGATAAGAGGAACATCAAGGGTTAGAGAGAATCATTGATCTCAGCTGCCTCCAGCACACCTCACACTGGGGACCCAGGCTTGTATTATGCCCTGACCAGCAATCAAACCTCCTGATTCATAGGTCAATGCTCAACCACTGACTCACACTGGCTGGGCTGATCTATGTGCTTTAAATTTTATTTTTAAATATTTAATATGGCCACACATACGTAGACTGCTAATTCTTTGCTTTAAATGCTTGGATCTGATTTATCTTCATAACCATTAACTTAGGATCTTAATTAGTTTTCCATAAATAATGGGTATCAAGATTATTGAAATTGCAAAGATGATTTTATTTCTTGGAAGAACAATATACACAGGCAAATCATTCACAGTCAAAATTTCAAAAAGTCTGAAGGGAATATAGTGAACACTATTCTCTCACTCCTGTTCTGTCAGCCATTCTGTTCCTCCACTTATAGGTACTATTTAATTGTCTTAAAGATAAATTTGATAGAAACAATGTCCTTCACCATAATGCAAACAAGATAATATATGAGAGTTTTTACTTATTAAATTCCCTGTAGCTTAAGAACTCTAATCCTCTTCCTCCATATTGCCTATGGAGGTGGCAGCCATCTCCTACTTGTCATCCTTGGCTGCACTCAAACCTCTCATAAAACCAAAGATTATCAAAAAGAAGTTCATCAGGCACCAGTCAGACCAATATATCAAAATTAAGCAGAACTGACGGAAACCCAGAGACATTGACAATAAAAAGATTCAATGGCTAGATCTTAATGCCCAATAACGGAGCACATGCTGCCCAGTGGCTTTCGGAAGTCTTTGGTCCACAATGTCAAGGAGCTTGAAGTGCTGCTGATCTGCAGCAAACCTTACTGTGCTGAAATTGCTCACAGCATCTCCTCAAAGAATGGCAAAGCCATTGTATTGCGGAAGGAGAAGCTCAGTTGGCCATCAGAGCTACCAGTTTCAATGCTAAGCTGCACAGCGAAGAAAAGGAATAGATAGATTGTGTACACGTTTTATTTGTGTTAATAAAATAACAATTCTCGCATTAAAAAAAGGAATTATTTATTATCTTTTCCTTCCTTAAAACATATAGTAGGAATGTTAAGAGGGAAATGTAATATTTAGTCACAATCAGCAGCCTAGAAAAATGATCAAGTCCATGAATATTATAGTATTGAAACTTTTTACATTATTTCCTAATGAATTAACTTAGGTATTGTTTTTACTATATTTAGAATTTAATTGGTAATGCTGTTTTCAATTTTTAATACTCTAATCAAAAATTATTAGGAGTACTTCTAAGATTCAGAGAAATGTTAGCTAAATGTTTGTAGCCTAGCAGTTTGGTTAGCTATTGCATTTATATTGTGGAAGACGCTTATAAACTTTCCTACATAATCACCTTGGTTTCTTTTATTTTCTTTTTCAGATTTAGAAATGCCATGTTAAAAAGCATCTGTGAGGTTCTTGATTTGGAGAGATCAGGTGTAAATAGTGAACTGGTGAAGAGGATCTTGAACTTCTTAATGAATCCAAAGCCTTCTGGCAAAGTGAGGACCAATTTGTATAATTTTAGTAACAAATCAATTATTTACAGCCTCTCTTTTTTAATTATTCTTTTAAAAATAGTGGTCCATGAAAAAAGTAGCTACCTTAGGTCATAGTTCAATAGTGCAAGCTTGTTTCTTGAGAAAACCAGTGAATTTCAATTTATAGCCAAAGTTACTCTGTTGTACCTCCCATTTTGTTACACAGATATTTTAAAAACATGTACTCAAAAGTTTAGAGTAAATACAATTAGTATTTACTGCTTCATCAGAGACACCTTAAATGAAACACCTTTTCCCTCCTGCTAGTGCGTGATTGTAAGGAATATGACTAGCAAGGTTTGCTGCCTCTGCTTAATTAGTAAGTACTAAGATGACAATTGTTTTACCTTTGCTTTTCCATAATCAGTGAAAGACCTAATAAATGTCTTGGTATTAGAAAAATAGTTTTGACCTGCAAGCTTCTGAAAAGTTCTCAGGAAACCCCAGGATCCATGAACCACACTTTTGAGAAGCACTTCCTTAGAGTTTCCTTGGGGTGTAGAGCGGCCTGGGTGAGGGGCCTGATGTAGTTTGTAGGCCAGCCAGGCCCCCCCAGCAACCCAAGAGGAGGCATTGGTATCTGGGATTTATTTATCTTCTATAATTGAAACTTTGTAGCATTGAGCAGAGGCCAGGGCGGACAGAAAGCTTGGCTTTCTCCATCGCTGGGGAAACCTAAGCCTCCTATTCTCTCCGGTCTGTGGCTGCTACCATTTTTGTTGGGATTTATTTATCTTCTATAATTGAAACTTTGTAGCCTTGAGTGGAGTCCAGAGCTGGCCATTGTGTGCAGGGAGCTTGGCTTCCTCCATTGCTGGGGAAACCCAAGCCTCCTGCTTGCTCTGTGGCAGCGACCATCTTGGTTGGGTTAATTTGCATACCCATTCCTGATTGGCTGGTGGGTGTGGTTGTGTTTATAGTGGAGATACGGAAAATTTGCATATTACTCTTTTGTTAAATAGGCTGTATCTTGAGGTTATATTATGGCATTTTTCTTTATGTGTCTGTTTATTGCAGAAAATAACAGGCAGAAACAAAAGATACCTATAATTTTCAAAAATAAGTAATTTTTAAAGATAAGTTAATCTTTTCACATCCATTTGCAGGATTATTTATGGTTTTCAATTTTAGAAGTTAGCAAATTCTCCCCTAAGAAAGCACTTAAAAGTTAAATTTGTTGGTTAATATAATAATTTTCTTCACATGATCTTTTTTTAAATGTGTGTGCTTTAATTGAATGTCAAAGTAAGAGCAATGCATTGATTATGTGGTTCTTAATTTATCAATTAACACATTCAGTATTTATTACATATTTACAATCATTTGAGAATATAATACTGACATTATGGAAAGTAGAGCCCAGAAGTAATATGAATATAAACTACATAGTTCATAAATTCAGGATGTATTAATGGATGATTCTTCCCAGTCCTTTCATTTGAGGGTCCCCTAAAATAGGAACCTTCTTTGACAGCAGTTGATGTTTATAGGAAGGAAGTAATAGTAAATTATAATATTCAAAGTATTATCTTGATAAAGTGTAAATAACTGAGCTTAACGTGGTGTATATTTGCGCTTCTAGTCCCATGTCAGACCATAGAATACATATTTAAACATTTGTGCAGAGTCTCTTGCGTAGGTGTTTATAATACAAATGAAAGGTATTGGTAGTTCAGACAAAAAAAAATTAATTTGACACATTGTTGAAGATGAATTATTCTCTAAAGCTACTAATCTTGAAAATATACCTTGAGACAAACAAGAATTGAGTTGAGAAGTAGGTCTCAGAAATAGTTGATTGACTTGGAAATACCTCACTGGAGTTTATTTTATTTTATGCAGCCATTGCCAAAATCTAAAAAAACTTCTAGCAAAGGCAACAAAAAGGAAAGGAACAGTCCTGGAATGGCAAGGAAAGCAAAGCGAACCAAATGTCCTGAAATTCTGTCAGATGAATCTAGCAGTGATGAAGATGAAAAGAAAAACAAAGAAGAGTCTTCAGAGGATGAAGATAAAGAAAGTGAAGAGGAGGTAAAATTTTAGCTTTTTGTTTTTTCATTTCTTTTTCTGGGGAGAGTTAAATATTTCTGCTGTATAATAGGTATAGCCAGAAAATAGATTTTAGGAACCACCAGTTCTGAAGACATGTAGTTCAGTTTAAACCCTTTTTTCCCCTTAATATACTTTTAGTTTTGCTGACAGGCCAGAGTGTAAAAGTTGGAAAAGAGTGAAGTTGGAATTGAATTTTAGCCTGGGCCTTGACTAGAGTAGGTCAAATGGGAAGGGAAGGCACTGGGGAGGGGTATGTATCCTGAACAGAAACACAAAGAGCAGATTTTTTTGAGAATTTTCTTTAAAGTATATTAATATATTATGAAGATCTTGAATCATTTTATTCTGTTTTATACAAAAAAATAGGTTTAAGGACCACCATTTTTTTTTCTCAGCTTGTTGAGGATTATTTAATGAGAATAACAGGATTTGAAGTTTGATTGTTGGGCATAATTTATATCACTTAGGAATGTCTGCCACTTTACTTATAAATCTTAGTAAATGTTGAATATTATTAGTTTTCAAAGTGAAACTTTAGGAAACTTTAGGATGCTGAACCATTTATAGGGTTAACTTTATACATTCCTTTTTGAGTATCTTCAATCAAATAGATGGGAAATAGATTTTCTATTATTGTTAATAGTCTTTTCATAGACTATTCACTTGCTCTATAAGTTGGGTAATGTACTTGATTTTAGTTAAGACTTGATGAGGCTTGATATTTTGGGCCAAAATGATTCTTCATTGTAGAAGACTGTCTTATGTATTATAGAACTTTGCCCACTAGGTGCCAGTAGCATACTTCCCCAATGTCCATTTGTGAAAACCAAAAATGTCTCCAGACATTGCCAAGTGTCTCCTGGTGGGGCAAAATTACTTCCAGTTGATTCTAGAGGGAGTAAGGATGTTGTGAACTCTGGTTTTATGTGTGTCTTGTATAAATTTGCCTTTAAGTATTTAAAATCCATGCTTGTTTTAATGTTAAATTTTATAAAGACTTCAATAAAGCTAAGTTTGAAAAGCATAATTCAAAGAATATTATAAAGCTAGCATATATATATTGCTAAGTTGACTCACACATGCGCTATACATATAAAGCTGTTGTCTCCAGTCGCATGTGTGTGTTTCGATCTGTCATTGTCGATGGTGAATTTGGTTGACACTTCTATTATAGAAAAAGGTGCGAATAGCAATATTAAAATATTCTAAATAATTTCCAATGTGCACGAATCCATACACCAGGATACTAGTCTTAATATTTATTTTTGGTGTAAAGCAGGATGAGTAATCTGAGCATTAAGGTTTTTTATGATTGATTTTAGAAAAGTCTGGAAGGAAAACATTTGTTTATATGTGAATATGCAATAATGCCAGTTTTTCAGTAATAGTGTTATTCCTCATTTAACAAATTTTTGGTTATCTACTTTAACCAACTGTCTGTGAAGCATTTCCCATGCCTTATTTGATCCTTACAGAATTCCTGGAGAAGGTAGATAGGAGACTCAGTATAATCTTGTGTGGTTTTTTTTTTTGTTTGTTTGTTTGTTTTCATTAGACAGAAAATGGAGATTTAGAAAGCTTAGAAACTTAAACCCAAATGAAATGGAGTAAGAAATGGTGGGCCTTGAAAATGACTTCAGATTTTCTCACTGCACAGAATATAGTCAAACACTGCTACAATTAAATATTTTACCTTTTCTTCTCCCTGTGAGATCTACAATAATAATCTACTTCATGTTGATATTTGCTGTGTTGCTTACAATTACCTAAAAAAGAAGTTAGGATGCTTCACTGGGCTGGAAAAAGTTTAGCTACTAGTAACTCAGAAAGCAAGTCTAATTAAGCAAGTTTAATTATATATATAAAAGCTAAGTTGACTTGCACATAAGCAATACATATAAAGCTCTCGCTGCTGTCAATTGTATGGTGTGTTTTAATCTGTCGATTGTGAATTTGGTTGACACAGAAAAGATAAAAAGCAATATTAAAATATTTCTTCTAATTTCCTTTCATTGTACACGAATTCATGCACTGGGCCTCTAGCTGTTTTTATTAAAGCTGTTTTAAACTTCTTTATCATCTCAGCTCTGGACTATTTGCAGAAGAGCAATTTGGAACCAGGAAGAAACTGGTAGATGAAATTATGGGTTTTTTTGGTTTGGATTTTCTGTAAACTTACTCTGAAAATGAACTGGTTCCCATATCAGATTAGCATCTTTAGGGAAATTCTGCTAAAATGAACCAGTGAGATTAAATCATATTCAGGCAGGCCTTTCACAGATATTAAGTGTTAGGCACAGAGAAATCACTGGAGAGTACAGAGAAAAGGGAGAAGCAGTGCTTCCCAGGTTGGAGAAAATGAGTATTAGAAATTTTTTAGACCCTTAAAGCATATATTTTTTCTTCATTTTATCTATTCTGTAGTTTCTTTTTCCCTAGTGTTTTTCTAACACTCTTATCCCTAGAAATAGTATAAAACTGGATTTTTACTTTGTGAGTATTGATAGTGTATCTGAATATTCTACAATAATATGAGTGAGGAATGTCTTTAGCTATACTTAAAAAACCTCACTAATATGTCCAAAACAGAAGTTTATTTTTCTTTCATGGCAGGAAGACCACAAATAAGCAGTTCTTGGCCAGTATACCATCTTCAAGATAAAGGTATCAAGAATTGGGGTACCATTTTTCTTCTTGAGCCATCATCTTTATATGTGGCATTTAACCTCCCTATATAATAAAAGGCCAGAGGCATCACAACCGGACCAACCAGAGACTAGACCACCATAGCCCCTTGCAGGGCTGGCCTCACCCCCAAGCAAACAGGGGCAATCAGGCAGGCAGAGTGGTTAGGGGTATCAGGTAGGCAGGCCAGCGGTTAGGGGCGATCAGGTAGGCAGCCAGCCCCTTGCAGGGCTGGCCCTGCCCCCCAACAAAGAAAGAGGGTGGCCCAGGCCAACCAAGGCATTGCACTCCAGTCACCTGCAGAGGGAGGCCACTGGTGGTGGGGAGGGGAGGTAGGATGCAGTGCTGCACAGATGGCAAGCAGTGGCAGCAGTTGGGGTGGGGCCAGCTGCCTGCAGCCTGGGGAAGGAAAGCCCCAATAGGCACTGATCTCAGGCCAGGCCTAGGAACTCTACCCAAGGGGTCCTGGATTGTGAGAGGGTGCAGGCTTGGCTAAGGAACCCTCCCTCTCCCCCTCAAGTGCATGAATTTTCGTGCACCAGGCCTCGAGTAGGATTATAAAATGGTTGTTTTACCTTTAGGCACTGTTTCTCTGTTCTAGATAGGAAAGAACAAAGAGCTTTCTTTTAGTGATTTTGGCTCCCCTCTATCCCTGAAAGAATTCCTTTTACTAGAGATTTCCATGTATATCAAATTGTCCAGAACTTTTATATGTGGCCACCTCTAGCTGAAAGGAAAGCTATGAGATCCACATGTTATTTTCCTCCTTCTATAGGAGAAAGGCAAATAAAAAGGGATGTTGAGTGAGGTCTTCTACAATGTTTGCCAAATAAGAGAAATTTTGCATTATAATTTCTGGTGAACATATATTTAGACCAAATACTGGGAAGTTGGTAAGAAGGTGAATGTGAAAGTTTTGTTAGTCCTTAATTATGTTCTAAAAACAAAAAAAACACAAGAATTGCCCGGCCAGTGGCTTAGGTGGTTGAGCATTGTCCTGTGCCCCAAATGTTGTTGGTTTGATGCCCATTCGGGGCACATACCTGGGTTGCAGGTTCAATCCCTAGTTGGTTCATTCATGGAAGGCAACCCAATTTCTCTCTTTCTCCCTTCCTCTCCCTAAGCTTGTTCTCAGGTAAGGATTAAAAATATAAAACAGAGAATTTCTGCATCTCATAATTTGATCAGAGGGATTACAAAACCTTATAAACTATTAAGCCTTTTGTTGGAAGGCAAAGTTGAATAAGCACCATAATAAAATCTACAGTATTTAGACTTAAACTTGTTTTTATAATCTTTTGTGAAATATAACGAGACTTGCACATTCTTTACTCTTGGCCCTATTGAGCTTTCTCAGCCAAGTTGTTATAAGAATAGTGTATTTTAAGCTAATTTTAATTTTGTTCATCTGTTCACCCAGTACAACCTTTCTGCTGTGAGGACAGGATTCTGGCTCTGTGACAGGCGTCTTTTTGGAGACCCTTCTTCAAAGAGCCCTGCTGCCTATAAAAGATAGGTAAGCCTTCTCTCCCAAGATTTTTTTGTTTTGCCTTCCTTCAAAAAGTGCTCTTGTCGTTCCTCTGATTTTATACCTTCAAGGTTATCAGAGACATGGAAAACCCCTTCAGTTTTTTTTAAAAAATTATATTATTAATCTTTTAAAAATGTATAGTACATTGTACTATCTAAAATTAATGGCAGCTGTCAATTCTTACCTGTTTTCCTTGAGCACTTCAAAAATACCTACAATAATGGATGGTCCTGATTGAATCATTCAGCATATTCAAAAATAGCAAGCCAGGATCTTAAAAATAAATCCATGACAATTTGGAAACTAACCTTTCCTTCTTTTTGTTTTAAACTTAACCTAATTCTTTCCCATACATTTTGTTAAAAGACCCAAGTTTGGGTAATTTGCTAAGTGCTATTGGCATTACAGAAGATACTTTCTAACCAAAATATAGTTTGAGTAATATAATTTTAGAAAAGAATCTATCTGTTGATGAGGGGAACCTTTGGGGAGAAATGGAAGAAGTACCAGTTGAAATGGAAGAAGTACCAGAATGGAAGAAGTATCTATTTCTTGGGACTAGAAAGCTCAACATGTGAACAAAGACGGGAGCAGGAAAGTACAGGGTACCTTTGACAAACATTCGCTTATGGTTAGATGCTATGTCCAGAAGTAAAGCAATGAGGTGAAGCTAGAGTAATGTAGGTTGAAGGCAGACTAAGAACTCATGAGGTTGGGCATTGTGTGAGTAATAAAACCTTTGGGGTTAGATTCATCCTCATCC